GCCAAATAGGGGCGCCCGAGTTTGGTGATGGTCGTCAACGCAAAACAAACCTGGCCACAGCCATAAAAATGCCTAGCACGACACAACCCATGCCGGACCATTTTATATAAGGGTTGTGCCGTGTCGGCCCGAAAGCTTACGTGCGCGGATCGCCCTGCGGTGCCTACTAAAAGGCCAACATGCCTATAGGACGACATTTGTTTATTTTCTGCCTTGTGAGCCGTTTCGGTGAGCTGGTACATGCGACGATCCACGTGACTTCAAGGATGAAGAGGAGCTACTCGATTGTGTTACCGCATATCTAATTTTCAAGTGAATTGTTTGCAACATATTGTAGTGTATATTCATCACATATGGCTGGTACCAATTATGCAAAAACAACTTTGTTCCATTGCTTCTGGTCAATGCTATGCTCAGCAATGATTTGGATCTGCCCCATACAACGGTAGGTCGCGCGTTAGTGTCGTAGCGCGCACCCCTAGAGCTCCCGATCAGCGTATGGGCTAGCTCATTTTGCGGTTTATTTCCCACTGGTTTTGGGAAGAACCTTCGCAAAACAATTTTTTTCTCTACCGATTTTTCTTTTTGTCTTTCTCGTTTTCTTTTCTTTCCTATTTTTCTTTTTATTTTTTCCTTTTTCTTTCTTTTATTATTTTTCTTTCATTTTCTTTTTTCAATTTTTCTTTCCTTTCGGTTTACCTTTTCCTATTCTATTTTTTCTTATTTACCTTTTCATTTTTTTTCTTTTCAAATTCATGAACATTTTTTGTTCATTTAATTTTAAAAAAGTTCAACCATGTAAAAAATGTTCAAAATTTTAAATAATGTTCATCAAATTCATTTTTTTTATTAATCAGATTTAGAAAATGTTCATCAAAATTCAAAAAAATCATGAAGCTAAAAAAGTGTTCATCAAGTTCTATTTTTGTTCATCATTTTCAAGAAAATTTCATCACATTCAAATTTGTTCTTTGAATTCAAAATTTGTTCATCATTTATTAAAAAAATGTTCTTGAATACAAATTTTGTTCATCAAGTTCAAAAAATGTTCATCAAATACAAAAAGTTGGTAATCATTATTAAAAAATGATTCATAAAAATGTAAAAATCATTAAAATTAAAAATGTTCATTCCTTTGGTAAATCATAAACTTTTTTTGAATTCAAGAACTATTTTTGATAATTCACAATTTTTTGAAAATTTAGAACATTTTTGTAGTCCCGGATTATTTTAACATAGAATATAAGAAAAACAGAAAATAAAAAAGAAAAAGAAAAAGAGAAAATGAAAATAAAAAACAAGGAGTGTCCCGCCCCACGCATGGGCCGACCCAACAGGGCGGGTGGGGGGGTCGCCCAAATAGGGGAACCTGAGTTTGGCGATGGTCGTCGGCGCAGAACAAGAGAAAAGTATAGTTTTCCCCCTCAAATGTGGCTAATCGGATCAAATGCCCCCAAACTCTTAAACCGGTTATTTAACCCCCTCAAATCTGGAATACCGGATAAATCTCCCCCTATAGTGGTTTTGGGGAGGATTCAGATGGTTTTCCCTTTGACATTGTGCTGACGTGGGAGTGCACACCAAAAATTCCCAATTTGCTCGCGCCCGCCTGCAGGCCGCTGTCGGCCGTCATGTCCGCCACGGGCCGCCTCCCTGCGCCCCCACCTTCGGGCGAGCTCCACCCTTCACGTATGACTGCGTCACGTTCTCCACCAGCAGGCCCCGTAGCCGCCGTGAGCAGCACAACTGTCTTGCCTCCCCTACTTCGCCTCGCCTACCTCATGTAGTCTCCCACTCTCTGTCACCGGCCGCGTGCGCACCAACCGAGTCCATGACCGACACACCTCTTCGATCTGTTGTCGTCGAGTTCTCTCGCTTATGTTTCTGGATCGGTGGTTGATGACCCACGCGTATAGGGGATCTATCGTAGTCCTTTCGATAAGTAAGAGTGTCGAACCCAACAAGGAGCAGAAGGAAATGATAAGCGGTTTCCAGCAAGGTATTCTCTGCAAGTACTGAAATCAGTGGTAACAGATAATTTTGTGATAGGATAATTTGTAACGAGCAACAAGTAACAAAAGTAAATAAAGTGCAGCAAGGTGGCCCAATCCTTTTTGTAGCAAAGGACAAGCCTGGACAAACTCTTATATAGAGAAAAGTGCTCCCAAGGACACATGGGAATATCGTCAAGCTAGTTTTCATCACGTTCATATGATTCGCGTTCGGTACTTTGATAATTTGGTATGTGGTGGACCGGTGCTTGGGTACTGTCCTTACTTGGACAAGCATCCCACTTATGATTAACCTCTATTGCAAGCATCCGCAATTACAACAAAAGTATTAAGATAAACCTAACCATAGCATGAAACATATGGATCCAAATCAGCCCCTTACGAAGCAATGCATAAACTAGGGTTTAAGCTTCTGTCACTCTAGCAACCCATCATCTACTTATTACTTCCCAATGCCTTCCTCTAGGCCCAAATAACAGTGAAGTGTCATGTAGTCGACGTTCACATAACACCACTAGAGGAGAGACAACATACATCTCATCAAAATATCGAACGAGTACCAAATTCACATAACTACTAATAGCAAGACTTCTCCCATGTCCTTAGGAACAAACGTAACTACTCACAAAGCATAATCATGTTCATAATCAGAGGGGTATTAATATGCATATAGGATCTGAACATATGATCTTCCACCAAAGAAACCAA